TTATGTTTTTACCCATGTTTAGAAACCACTCATTCTAGCTGTAGCATCACCATTAAATGCACATTATGACTGCCTGACATTAAGAATACTGATAATGTTCAATGACCATTAAATGACAGACAAATGGCCCAATACTTTATACTTAAATTGCTCACCTCATCAGCAAATGGCTCTATAAATGGCCAATATATCAGCAATGCAATCAACCAGACAAAATATATGCAATTATAAAAGAGATATAGATTTTTTGTGATACAAATAATTTGGGAGCTCAACTATAGACTTAACTGTTTTTTTGTTTTGTTTTTGTCATAATATAAATTTGCTTTATGAAACTGGTTGCTAGGCAAGACCAGTTGCCGAGTAACAAAATGTGATAACARCTACAGGTTATAATATAGGTTTTTGAATGCAGGCCTAAAGGATATGGATCGCTCTTATTTTCAGAAGACTTAGTAATGTTTTTGCTAGATCTATTTTAAAATTTAAATTTCRTCTGATGCATTCCAGAAGTTATTTTTATCCCATGAATTAAAAAAAAAATTATATATATCAGCAACGAAAAACAATTTCTTACTAAAAATTCTAAGTTTACGATATATTTTGAAAACCTTTTTTCACCATAGCACTTTCATTGAACACTATTCCTGGATCTAAAATGCATATCAAAGTCCTGTGTACCGATACTTTTATTGCCTCTTACTTTTCCATGTTGATAGATTATGGATATTCAAATCTAAATAATGTGATTATTCRTAGTTTTATATTACATTTTTTTTACACTTCTTAATAATGTTTTCCCATTTTAGACCATATGTCATTCCCTAGAACAACATTTCTTTGTTTAAAAAAMTGGTTTCAAGACCATAAAGGAGACACATGAATATGGATACAGTACAAACAAAAATTCTTATACATGAAGAGAATGACRTGGTTTTATTATTGTTTGGTGCACAGGGCTTAAAATAACAGCTGATCAGTTACTGGTCATGTTCGCAGGCCATGTTCGCAGGCCAAATTAGTTTTAGCTTGGTCTAACCTCTAAATTATGTACTGTCAAAATGACTGGCAATGCAAAGATTTGACAGGACATTAGTCTCAGTTCTGATCAGGCATTGTCCAATATGTCTGGCTGTTATTTTAAGCCCTGGTGCACATACTATCCTGTTTTGTCTGTATCATACAGTAGCACATCAATCTGACAGTTGTGTTTTACATTGTAGGATAGATACCAAAGGTGATGTCCTGGTGATTGAATCCAAGCAGGTGATAGAAATGAAAGAAGGGAATATAGTTGCACCATATAGATTTATTAGGGTAAGTTCCTTGACTTTCTTGGACTTCAAATTAAAAATGAATAAAAAAATAATTAACTCAAGATAGTAGTTATTGGATGGAAGAATATGTATAAGAATGAGTTCATTGTATAAATGAATGCATGCACAAATGTACACACAAACGAACGCACACATGAATGCACACACAAAAGAGCTAACACTAACCAATGATCATGAATGGATGAATTAATCAATGAATGCCTCGATGAATGAATGAATGAAGGAAGGAAGGTAGGAAGGTTGGCTAGTTTTCTCGACTGATTACATCATTCTATATTCACAAGTTGACCCATATGATATGACCAGTAATTTTTATACATCATGGCTTAAAATAATGGTTGCTCAGTTGCCTGTCATGATGA